AACACAAAAAAAATTATTATTAGGAAATGTTATTTTAACAGTTGAAGAAATGGATACTCCATTATATGTTTGTAGATACCAAAACCGACTTGATGTTAATATCCAAAAAACTAAAGGATTCATTAATGAAAAAGAAAAAATATCAGTTTATGCACAAGCTTCTGTTGGAAAACAAATTCTTGAAACTACAGTTTGGAAAAAGAAAGGAGACCCTTTCTGGAATAGTACTTTTTCATTTTCATTTAAAAATGCTAATAATATTAATATTCAAATTAAAGACTGGAAAATGGTTGGAACTAATACTACATTAGGTTCAGTTTCTATTAATTTGTTTGATATTCCTGATAGTCAATGGGTAAGTAAAGAATTACCAATTAAAGGAGGAAATGGAATATTATATTGTTCTTTATATATTACAAAATATCAAATGATTAATAATATATTACCTATAGAATGTGAAATCGAAGATGATGGAGATGATTGGTGTAAACAAAATATTCAACCATTTGAATCATTTACTGATGACTGTAATCCAAAAGGAATTATTGATTCTAAATGCAAAGAAGGATACCATTTTGAATTAAGTAAAGATGATATTGGTTCTTTATTAAATGAAGATGTTCCAATATTTAATGAGAAATATTTTGAAAAGCCCATTGAAGAAGGAATCATTCCAAGCGTTAATAAACGAGCATTTTATAATACAGTAAAAACACCAACTGGCCCAATACTTATTGTTGTAGGAGATGAAGTTGGTGGTTTAAAAAAAGCAGTTGTTATTTCTCAGTTTGGAACAGTGAAAACATATATCAAAGACATACGAGATATAGATAGTGAGATAATGAATGTATATGGATTAAAAAAAGAACAAGTTAAAATGAAAGAATGTGGAAAAGAGATTTGGCCAAAACTAATTGAATATGAATCAAGAAATAAATGTCCTGCTTATAAGTTTGGATTAGTTGTTGCTACTCAAGGTCAGAAACTTGAACAACAATTTTTATCAAATACTACAACTTCTCCTCTTTGTCAAGAATTCTTTAATTTAATAGGTAAAACAATTGTTCTTAAAGGTTATAATGGGTATAGAGGTGGATTAGATGTTCAAACTAATACAACAGGAACACATTCAATTATTTCTTCCTTCAAAGGAATTGATATTATGTTTCATGTATCAACAATGTTACAACACGAAGCAAGTGATGAACAACATTTAGCTAAAAAACGTCACATTGGTAATGATGTTTGTGTAATTATATTTAAAGAGACTAACAATAAAAAGGATGATGAAATTGATTTAAATTCATTTATTACTCAATTTAATCATGTCTTTATTATTGTTTCTCCTGTGATTATAAAAGGTGTTCCTTTATATCGGGTTTGTGTTTGTTGTAAATCTGCTGTTCAAGGTTTTCTTCCACACTTTCCACCAGAAAAGTATTTCCCAAGAGATCGTTCATTTGTTGATTGGTTATTATGTAAAACAATTAATGGAGAACGTGCATCTCTTGAATCTCCTCAATTTATTAAGTCTCAAAGAGTTGCGCAAAAAGGATTATTAGAAGTGATGATTTCAAGTGTAACGAATTGATAAAGAAATAATGAAGAATGAGTTATTTATTTTCTTTCTTTTTTCTTTTATAAGTAAAAACCCTTTTTTAAATTTTTTAAAGAAAAAGAAGTTAGAAAAGATTATTTAATGTCATTGCTTGGACAGTTACTTGATTTATATTGTGAAGGAAAATTATGTATTTATTGTGTTGCAAGGTTTTCGTTTAGAATAGGAGAACGATACTACTCACAAAGTATGGAAGAAATTATAAATAATTTATTTCAAGCAGAAAAAAGAGAGGTTGTCCATCCAAAGACCAATTGTGTTATTTGTTTTAATATGTCTATTTATTTTCAAAGTGATGAAATAGTTGAACGAATACATGAGGCATTAAAAGAATCAGGACATATTTATGAAGGAACATTTTATATTAATACATCATTTCCACAAGCTATTTTTGTTAGAGAAATAGCATTATGTAGATATATAACAAGAACATTTCCATCAAAGAATTATTCTCCTTTTAGGCTAAAAGATACATTAAGATTTATTTTAATGAATAAAATTAAAGATTGGAAATGTGAATTGGAATCACCATTAAAATTAACAATTGAATTTACTCATCAACAATTAAGAGAAGATGGGGATAAACTCATTGAAATATCAGTTGGAAAAAAGAGAAAAAGAATGGAAACATTAACATCAACAATAGCAATGAATGTCATTGAAAATATTCCATTAAAAGTATTTGAAGAATCATTTACTATTCCACCTATTAGAAATGAAGAAGATCCAGGAAAGTATAGATTTATATTTGAAAGAGATTATATTTATATTGGTGGAAGATATAGAAAATACTCAAGACAATTAAGTCAATCACAATGGGTTATTCAAGGAAAAGAAATGCATGAACATTCTATTACAAAAGAAATAGGTGAGGTATTAAAGAAATATTTTGAATGTGATGAATATTTTATGATTGCATCTGGAAGAGAAGATGTTGATGTTAGAATGTTAGGAAATGGAAGACCATTTGTTTTTGAATTACATAATCCAAGAAAAGTTTCATTACCAATAGAATTATATGCTCAAATACAAGAAGAAATTAATAAATCACCAGCAATTCAAGTAATGCATCTTCAAGCAATAGAAGTTAAAGACATTGATATAATTAAAAAAGGAGAAAGAGAGAAAAGAAAAAGATATTTAGCATTAATATGGGCAGAATCAATGAAAGAATTAAAAATAAAAGATTTATTAATTCAACAAAAAACACCTATTAGAGTATTACATAGAAGATCATTATTAACAAGAGAAAGAATGATATATTCATTAGATTTACATCCAATTGATGAACATTTTGGATTATTAGAATTAGAAACACAAGCAGGTACTTATATTAAAGAATTTGTACATGGAGACTTAGGTAGAACAAAACCAAATATTATAGAATTATTAGGATGTAATGCAGATATATTATCATTAGATGTTATTGAAGTTTTACTTGATTTTCCAAAAGAATGTAGACCAGAAAAATTAAGACCTGTTACATTTGATATTCCACCATTTATTACATTAAATGAACAACAAAAACAAAAGTGTAAAGAAATTATTAATTAAATTCAAGTTATCTCTTTTTTTGTTTTTAAATAAGGATATTTTAGTTAATTAAGAAATAAAAATTCGTTTTTGAATTGGAGGAGAGGAGAAAGAAACATTAATAAATCCTGCAAGAAGAAGAATTAATGAAGAAAAGAAACTACACCAAAATCCCCATGAAACTTCAACTAATGATCCACCTGTTGCTTCAGTTAATTTTTGTGTATCTTTAAAGAATAAGAACATAAATATATTTAATGAAACAAAATTAATAAAGAATGATAAAATACTTAAATATTTTAATTTTTGTGGAAGAATTAAACAAATACATTTACGTTTATTCATTTGGGAACAATCAAATAGAATTGAAATGAAAGTAATAATTAATGTAATAAATAATAAAACACTTGTTATATAATCTATTTATTGTGAATATTATATTCTTTTAAAATATTTATTTATTTAAAAAATCAAACTAGCAACTTGGAAGATACTATCATCCCAAACGTGTGTTTTAACACATGAAGGTTGTATTGAAATACCATTAAATGGTGGAAAAATTGAATTGCACATTGCTTCTTCTTTGAGATAATCTTTATTTTCAACCCATGGTAAGAAAAAAGAAAGTGTATTAAGGATAAATGCAACTATTGAAAAACAAGCACAAAGAAAAGCAACTAAATTGTATCTTGTTATAACAGAGAATAGACCCATTATTACTTTCAAATTTATTAGTTTTCTTTTTTTTTTGTTATTAATATTTTTAGTTTTTAAAATAAAAAAAAAATAGAAAGAATCAGTTAAATGGATATTTAAAATCAGGATTTGGAATAAATAAATTGTTAACAAACACAAATGAAATTTGGTGATCTTTTAACCATTCATCAATTTCTTCTTTTTGATTTGTAGAAGATATTTTGTCTCGATGTTTCTCATTTGATAAAACAACTGCACGTTTTGAAATAGCATATTCAATACTATAACTACTTGTAGAAGTATTTGTTGATGTAATTATATTTTTTTTAATTAGTTTATTTAAGCTTTTATTTGGAGGGGTTGTATTTTGTTTCTTAAGAGTTTTTAAGGTCCTTGAATCAATAATAATTGTCACTTCATAATTTTTCTTTTCATAATAATCAATGGCATTGAGAAGAGGATTAACTTCAAATGTATTTCCATGGCTATTGTAATAAGCAACATCAGCACCATCAATTACAATTCGTTTTCTTAAATCTTCAGTTAATATAACTCCAACAGTACTTAAGGGAAATGCCATTTCTTGGACACCATTCTCAACAATTAATCCATCAATCATATGGTCTCCACATTTACATTTTATTGGCTTAGGTAAAACACCAATACAATAGATTAACCCACCATTAATACTTGGGCAAACGACAGTCGTTGATTGAAGAACAGCTTCTTCATCATATACTACATGTCTATATTCCTCAGGACTGAGCTCACCCTCATCCCCATTTGGCTTTCTTGGAATACTTGATAGTTTACCTATTTTTGATGCAGGTACTATTTTACGAGATGTTTTTGTGTCAGTATGATAAAATTTAATTGCCCAAAACACTGAGTTGTGTTCATAATTATAATTGAATGGACATCGATTTTCTTGTTTCATTGAATCAACATATCCATATGAAAATCCACCTTTTGTTCGTGGAACAATTACAAGTTCTTCACGTTGAAAAGAATGTGAAATATCAAATATAATTCTTAAATAATCATTATCATCAATTTCATCAGTAATCAAATGATGTAGTGATTTCATATTACCTTTTTTGAGTTTTTTCTTTGATTTTTTATTTTTCAAAGTTTATTCTTTCTTAATAAATAACTCTATAAAATATTCTTTTAGAATATTTACTAAGAATTGAGTTCTTGTCAGTTGAAGAAATAATTGTTGTAAATGTACGATATAACTGTTGTTACATGAGCACTAAAAACTTTTATTAAATAATTAAATATCATATAAATAGAATATTAAAACAAAAATAATGAAATTTGAATAGAAAACAGAAATTATTGAAATTATTATATTAGCAAAAGAAGAGTAAAATATAAGAAAACTGGTAACACTAAAAAATAGTGATATTATGACTATTTTATTATATCATACTTTTCGTTCTTTTGTTTTTATTTTAATTTGAAATGATTGTAATATTATTGAATTTTCTTCTTTTTGGTTATCTTCTTATTTTATTCTAGATCTATATGTCCTAAATTATTATGAAGAGGTAGAACGTATAAACCAAGAAACTGCTATATTTATGGTTAACATGCAAGAGGTGAATGTAAGAAAGAAATAATAAAGTTTATTTAAAATTTTAATGGAAATCAAAAACACAAAAAGAAAAAAGAATAAAAATACCAAACGAACAACTAGAAAGAATATTGAAAAGAAAACACAAATGAATTAGAAAGAAATAATAATAAATGAATGAAAGAAGAATATAAAAGAAGTGATAAAAGAATAATATTATAATAAATAGGCAACGAAAAAAAAGGAAATAAGAGAAAAATGAAGAGAAAGAATGATATAAAAGAAAAAAGTGAAATTAAGAAGTAGAAGAAGATGAAAAGAATAAAAGAAAAAAATGAGAATATAAAATGAAAGAATATAAAAAGTAGTAATTTAAAAAGAGATAATAAAGGATGAAAAGAATGATGGAATAATGGTGTATTTTTTTATTACAGAAATTAGAAATATGTAATAAAAAAGCGTTTAATTTATTGATGCAATTTATTTAACTTTATTTTATGATATAATATTTTATTTATTTTTATTTTTATAATTTTTATTTATATATATTATTTATTATCAGTGTTTATTATATAGTCAGTTATAGATGTGATTATTATATGATATGCAATATATGATAAATAATAAGTATTAATTTCATATGATATAGATAGAAGATAGAAAAATTAAATGAATGATAATAAATGATAAAGAAATAATAAGAGAAAAGAAATAACATAATAATAAATAAAAAGTATAAATGAAATAATAAATAAAATCAATATAATATAGATAAAATAATAATAATAATAAATATAAAGAGAAAGAAGATATAAATTATAAAAATATAATAAAAATGAAAATAAGATAATGAAATGTATTAATATATAAGAAAATATATATAAATAGAAATATATTAATATAATAATGAGTTAATTAAGTATTAATAGAACTTGTGTCTGATGTTCCTGACTCAGGGAGACTATCTCATCCCTTCTTCTTCGTCATGTAGTTCAACAACATATGTTTGATTGTGGTAGAAACAGTGTTCTATGACATCCATCATGTTTTTAATTACAAGGTTTTTAATTTCTTTAGTTGTAAATTTCGATTTTTAATTGTTTAATTAATTTAATACTTTCCTCATTTACTAACCCATTAATCCAAATTACTACTGGAATTATTTTGACATCTTTTAGTTTATCTATTTTCATTACCATATTTTTCAATTCCTTGTACATGTTTCTTTTCTTCCAATACCCTCCATTAATATTGTGATCTGCCACAATAGTCATATCAATTATTAGACCAGTTTTATTCTTTTTATTTATTACATATATATCTGATATTTTATGATATAGTCCATCACTTTTTGGCATTATTTGTTTGTTCCATATCATAGTGATGTCATTGTATTGGAACACTGTTTCATATGTTGATTTCTTGTATTGTTTATTTCATGTGTATTTTCTTATTATCTAATATGATAATGCCAATATGGTCATGTTTCTCCATTTGTGATTTCTTATGACAAATACAAGATAGTAGAATGTGTTCTACTGTGGCTATCTTGTCTTTACAAAGTGGGCAGTACTTTAATCTTTCATTTTTTAATATTTTATCCTTCCTGTACCCACTAA